TAAGAATTTCTCATGAAATGTCTATTTAGAACAGTTTATAAATAAATTTTTAATAATGGTTTATGAAATATAAAATGAATCTGTTAGAGAAATTTTATTTTAAATTACGTGAAATGTATTTATAAACACTTTTTAATGTGATTTCAAACAGGCTCAATATCACCATCATATGTGTACGGACTAAAAATAGTTTATTTAGATAGGACATTTTTCCTGAATTAATGGGAAACTAATGGTATTCTTCCGGTTCTTAATATAAAATCTATTTAACTAATTTAATTAGATTAATGAAATTAAGTAAGTTAGTTAATTATAAAAAATGTAACACGTTTTTCTTAAAATACCGTAATCATCTTTTTTAATATCCTATCTTCCTCTTCTACTTGATTATGGTTCAGACTTCAGAGAGTATCCATAAGGATAATTTAAAGAAAATTAATAAATATGAGAAATAGGTCTTATATTTAAAATCAAAATCAACTCAATAATTAGGTCTTATATTAAGGACCGGAAGAGTATATACTTATAGTTATTAAAAAGAAGAAATATAAAAATGAAATGTTGATGACGGTTATATAAGCTCATCAAGCCAGGTGGCCACTATTTTTTATTATAATAAAAATGGGATTGTTGAAGCTTTGCAATATCCAGCTGTTCTCAAAACTCTACTTACCATCATCATTTCCTTTCATTTTCCCCGTTCTTAATCTTAAGCCTTTTATTACATTTTAAATTACGTTTTCGTCATCATTACTTCCTCCTCCCACCTTCAAAATTATAGGTTGTATGGTAGAAAGGTTTTCTTGATTAGGTATTTTTGGGTAATGTTTAACGCATTAATCATTTTATTCTTGTTTTGCCATTAAGCTGCAATTAGGAAGTGATAGAGATTTAAAAGTCAATGTTTGTAACTCAATATAATTAAAAAATTCTTAACAGCTTTCCTTGATCAGATTTTTTTTGGGGGTGAAATTCCTTGATCAAATTTAATCATCAAGTTAACTATTTTGAACTCTCTGTTTTTTTTTTTCCTAGTACGCGGGAGCAATTAAACATGAGAGGAAAACCTCTCCATTTTGTTTACCCTTCAATTTCTCTCTAGTTGCTGATTATTATTATAATAAAAATAGATAATAAATTTAAATGGATAAAATTTAATAAAAAAATAGTTTTCCTACTTTAGTTAAAGTATTTTATATTATTTTTATTTTTATCTTATATTATTATTAAACATTAAAACTCAAGCATTAAAACCTAACTTGTGAAGATAAAAAAACCAGAGAAAGTGGAGAATAAAAAGGTGGAGAAATTCTCTTCCCGTTAGATTACCATTTACGTATGATTTATATATATTGATATTGATAATTTTACTAAAACTTCGAAATATATGTTGTTGTTAATTAAATATTATGTCCCTTAGACCAGAATTGTGGTTTGAGTTTAGTATATGTAGAAAAATTAAGTATAATTTTTTGCTCTCATATAGTGTGAACTAGCCTTTTGGTTTAAAAAAAAAAATGGTGTGAACTAGCTCGAATGAGATTAATCTAATTAAATTTAAGAAGATATTTTTAAGAATTGACTAGCATTATTTTTAGAGAGGGAGGGAGGGAGAGATATGGTTGAATTTCTTGCAACATATGATTAGTCACGAATATGGTATAATTATATTGTAATTAATATTTAATTAACTTATTATGGTTAAAATCATTGATTAATGATGTGGCGTGTGTGTAAGCAAGAACAAAGTGATGGGTTGAGGATTAGGGACTAATCAAGAGGTGAGATTCACTAATTAGTTCCACGTCATCTATGTGGGGCCTAATTATAATATAATTGCTTATAAAATATCATGAGAAAATCTAAATCCAATCTCTAAACTAATGCCTCTTTCTCCTTATGTAGCACTATAAATAAAATAAAGTGCGTCTATTATTTAAAAAAAAATCAAATCTTGGAATTCAGTAAAGTCATATGTTTTCTTGGTTTTAAACATTCAGATAACTTTTTATTAATTTAATCAAACGTAAATTAAAATTAAAGGAATTTAGACAAAAATATATATTTGGTTTTTTAAATTTTATATAGAGTTTTAATTTGATTTTTTAACCTTAAAAAGTATATCTTTGGTCTCTTTATCCTAAAATCATTAGTCTTAAAAGATATATTTTTTTAAAAACAAACATGGTTATTTTAAAAATTAAACTTAATATGTTAGTATTTGAGAATGTTTTTATTAACATTCAAGATCACACTATTATAATTTTTTAATTAATACCTTTAGAGTTAAATGGTTAAAAATATATTTTTTAAAATTAAAGGATTAAATTAAAATCTCATATAAAACTAAAGTACTAAAAATATATTTTAGCCTTGAATTTATTACTAGTACTACCTTCGGTCCTAATTATAAGAGCCAATTGACTAATTTGAGAAGATTAAGGAAGTAAGTTGAGTTAGTTATTTGTCCTAAATAGGTGTTGTCTTTCCTAAAATATCCTTGCTAATCAAGTGTATTAACTAGAACTATAATTATTAGAAGACTTATCTTGGAAAAAATTGAGTAAATATGAGAGACAAAGTGGATTGGGGTTTTATATTTAGGACCAAAATAAAAGTCAAACATGGTCTTATATTAAGGACCAGAAGTAGTATTATATTTATCTTTTTCTTTCGGTTGATTCTCTAAATGCATGGGGTCTCCAAACCAAACGAAAAAAAAAAATCTTAAAAAAATTAATTTGGTGAAAAATTTTAATTTGTTGATATCAGATTTTTATAATTATGCTAAAATAAAAAAATTGAAGCATATATTATTATAAGTATTAAAAAATTTGTTTGCGTATAGGGTTGATTTTAGCCAATTTGTGCAATTAATAATCTGAGACTTAAAAGATATGGGGGACTGCTGCAAGAAAGCGAAGCAAATGAATCTAAAATAAAAGGACAAAAAAATCTTTACAATACAAAAATATAAATTTAATTTATAATATCCGAATTGCTGATCTCACATTCATTTTGCTGTTAGGGTTCTATGAATTTGGATTGTCTTGTGGGCCTCATCCTGGGCCACCCACTCAAAACCGCGTCCCAAACAGTGATCAATTTTTTAAAAATAATTTCCCTCTTAATCCCCCCACATTAATTTTTTTTTTAAAATTGAATAATAGATAAATTTCAAAACTGAAATAAACATACAAATATTCTTGACATATAAATTTAATATGTTTAGCTAAAAAATGAATTTATTTTGGTCCTAAATTCAGGATGGTAGTTCATTTTATCTTCTAAATTTATAATTATTTTAAAAAAATATTTTTATTAATTATAAGAAGGTTTTAATTAATGGTATTTTGAATTCACGGTTAAAGAGGATATTTTAAAAAAATTAATATAAATTTATTATAAATAATTAACTTAATTAATTTTCATAATATACACAGATTAGTTATTTATCTTTTTATGTTAAGAACTAGAGTAGTATTAGTTTTAAATATTTTATATGCTTTTATATCATGTCATTGGATCCAAAATTTAAAATAAATTTCTTTTTCTTAATCTTACAAATGGTGTTAATGGGACTAGGAGGATTAATTATGATCAAGATATAATACTATATATAATATAAATACATAATTGGTATATACAAGTTTAAAAATTTTAGAAATACAGTAGCTTTCTTTTTTTAAAAAAACAATAAATTATTGATTGCTACTGATTAATTCATATTCAAACTGAGAATTTGATTGTCGATAAGCTTTTTCAATTTGTTGAGAAAACCATTTGGAGGTAACTATATAGCTTTTTTTTTTTTTTTTCAATTTCTCTCAATCAAATGCTTAATTTTTTTTTTCTAAAATGATTTTCACTAATTTTTTTCCTTTCCTTTCATATGGATTGAATTTGATATCTTAGTTAAAGTATAATGATCCTGATGAGCCACCGGCAGTGGACGTTAGTTGCATTAGCAATATTTAATTATTTTTTATCTGATGATTTGGTGATTGTAATTTTTTATTATATGAAATTATTGTGCCTAAGATATTATGGTTACGTATGGATAGGTAGAAGAATGAGTCAAATAGAATTATGAACACGTGTGCAAGTGCTGAGAAGCTCACTCAAATTAATCCCATGCTTGCTATTAGCTACTAACTTAGCTGTATTCCCCTTCTAATTCTCTCTCTCACACGCACACGTCAACCTCAAGTCACCCTTTCTGATTGAATTATTGAATCTATCTAATTTTATTCTACTTTTAATTAGTAGTAATAATAATAATATTCTTTGATCTTAAAACCATGGTGTGAAAACTCAAACCGACTCACATAAATTAGTAACTCGAGAACTAATCGTTTGGTCAATCCGAGTAATCAATTAACTAAGGAGAAAAGGTAACGTCTCAGATCAACCCGATACCATCAAATCAACCAAACTAGTTAGATGAGATTATTAGTAAAGTCTAATTTATTTATTTTTAAAAAAACCTTGAATGACATTATTTTCGGTTAAATACCAATCCATCTTATTTATATTTTAGTAATTCTGTTTTGTTAAATTATATGTAATTAATGCATTAATATGGTATTTACATGTGAATTAAATCATTAATGCATTTTTATTTATATTACTTTTTCATAGTTATGTCTGTCTAAATATTTTGATCATTATCAGTTTTACGCTAATTGGAATACAAACCTTTGAATCGTTGTTCCCATCAATTGAACGACATATAGAATTAATTAATTAATAATTAATTAATTAATTAAATAAAAACATAGAGAATTGGAGGATGACCATGTTAGTTGGGGCCCCACTAAATTTTATGAAGCAACGAGGAAGCTCCACTGAAAACCACGAACTCTCTCCACGTTTCAACAGACAACACACTCTTACACAGACACATCAACGTCTATAAATACATTATCTTCCTTATTCACACAAACACTCACAACATCCCTCACTTCATCATCATCATCATCTTCTTCTTCTTCTCTGAACACTGCCTGTTAATTTCACATTCATGGATATGTCTTCTGATATCTCGCATGGCGCTTCGTCTTCTCCATACAGAGGTGTTCGCAAGAGAAAATGGGGCAAATGGGTGTCTGAAATCAGAGAGCCCGGCAAGAAGACCAGAATTTGGTTGGGCAGCTTCAAGACCCCGGAGATGGCCGCTGCGGCTTACGACGTCGCCGCGTTGCACTTCCGGGGACGTGATGCGAGGCTCAACTTCCCTGAGCTCGCCGGCAGCCTGCCCCGTCCGGCTAGTAGTGACGCCGATGACATTCGCATGGCTGCACATGAGGCCGCGTTGAGGCTGATGACGGCGGGGCCCACTTCAGCCCTGGAGGAGTCGTCCGGCTCCGAGGTGGCTCCGGTGATGGTCCGTCTTTCGCCGATGCAGATTCAGGCGATCAACGAGATGCCGTTGGACTCGCCGAGGATGTGGATGCAAATGGCGGACTCGATGATGTTGGATGAAACGATGTCGTTTGTGTATGAGGATGGAAAGGATATGCACAGTGATTCTCTGTGGGATCCGTAGGGTAATATATTATTTAATTCATACATTATAATTAATTATAGATTATCATTAGTATTATAATCAATATGGGGAATATCCATATAGGATTAGAAGTAATTAATTAGTCAAATCTTAATTAATTATGTAGTTGACAAATTATTGATTTAAACTAGAGCTAGCTAGCTGTAGGAATTTGAACTTGAAAGTTAAAAAAAAAAAAAAAAAACACACGCGCACGCACGCTCAAAGGGCAGAAGTGGTTGGGTCATTTTCCTTAAAGATGATGAAAGAAACCATGACTGTTGATATTGAAATTCTGTCTTATTTAATTAATTTGAACGAGACGGAATTTATGGTAAATACAATATTTAATTTGTTTTTAATTAATTCTGTAAAATGATTGATGGAAAAAAAAAATTTATCATTATTATGGATATAAATATAGAAATATAATTAAGATTATTAGGTGATTATTATAGGGTGGAAGTGAGATTTATTTATGTTGTGTAATATTGTTGATTTGAGCCACAGACTTGCAAATTGGCTGTATTTTTGTAAGCTGTTGTGGAAGGAGTGTGGTGTGACTACGATGTACAACTTGTACTTCTGAAATTCATATATAACAATGATATTTATTATTCAAATGTTTAACTTTTATTATTATTATTTTATTCATCTTTTTTTTTTTAGTTTAATTATCTGCATTAAACCGTTATCTTTGGGCCTTTGATTTAGGGTTAAATTGTATCCAATACTCCAAAGTATTTTCTTAGATATACCAAGCATTTCGAAGTATTTTGTGATGCATCTAACATTCAACACCCAAAAATAATTTTTGGTTTATCCAGCACTAAGGCAAAAAAAAAAAAAAACTTCAGGATGTTGGATACATCTAAAAAATACTTTAAAATATTTGACACATTATAAAATATTTTAGGGTGCTAGATATACTTGAAAAAATACTTCAGGCTATTAGATATACTTAACCCTTAATTTAATCACAGGTTGTTTGATTATTGGGCCTTCGTTTTCTTTGGGCTCCGATTGTAATTTAGGCCCAGTAACACGAACGGTGATGTCAGACTAACCTTAATGCTCTGTTTGGTGGCAAGAAATTGGGAGCAGGGAAGTGGAAGTGGAACCTCAAAATCGAAGTCTAGAACTTGATGTGGCTTTTGAAAATCAGTTGGTATTATGAAATCTATGGAAGGACTAAGTTTGAAAAATGAGGAAAAAAAATTGAAAACCTCTCCAAAAATTTACCTTTCATGAAAGAAGGCAATTGGAACTACTACTAAAGAGGACATGGAAGACATTATGAAGCCCTTAAAAATGTAGGAAAAAAAGTGGAAGATAACATTGAATATGACTATTTGGTTGACAATATGTTTATTTATTTATATTTATAAGTTACTTGAAGCATGTTTTACCAGATAAAAAAAACACCAAATCTTATTAACTCTCCATTTAAATCTAACAAATTATCTACTTTACCTATATTTAACATCGGATTAAGGTGCATTTAACACTTAATATTTTTTTTGAATACATCTAGCACTCTAAAGTATTTTTTTGCTTTAGTGTTAAATGTACCAAAAAATATTTTAGGGTGTTAGAAGCATCTAAAAAAAATATTTTAGGACACTGGTGTGCAAAAAAATACTTTAAAGTTCTAAACACACTTATAAAAAAATGTTTTAGGGTGTTGTATGTACCTAGAAAACTATTTCAAGTAACCCTTTAATATATATATATATATATGTCTATATATATACTTTTTTAAGAAAAGAATAATTTAAATAGCAATGAATAAAGAGTTAAATAACATATTCACATTAAAAATTTGATATATGACTTACGAATAGAAAAAGCCTTTTATCTCTTCCTTATAAATTAAATTATAGAAGTATATATAAAAATTTGGCTATTGATAAAATATAACAGCAATGTTTTTAGGAAAAATTGCTAAAAGATTTCCTATTATAAAATATGTTGCCCAAGTGTACCTTAAATTTATTTAAGGATCTGGTACAATGTATTTTGAGGAGCAAGTTTTCTTTAATTGTGTACATTTTTTTTTCGAGTAAACAAAAATTACTATTCAGAAGCAAAAAACGTACAACTAGTTACAAACGAGAAAAGGGAGCCAAAACAAAAGACAAGCTATTAGCCTAAGCATAACCGCTCATGAAGATCCTTCGCGTTGATGGTGTGGTGGCTTAAGGCAATAGCCTCATTTACAAGTCTAACCGCATTAAACTTGTCCTAGCAAAATAACTGTCTGTTTCTTGCTTTCCATAATTTAGCACATAGGATTCCGAAGAAGATGCACCAACTCTTGTCCCGCTTCTCAGGGTTGATGTTATCCTCAATCCATTCTCTAAGAGTCTGCTGGTAGAATTCCATATGGAGATGAGGAGGTACAATCAGGTTCTAGCATGTGGCAGCATTGGTACATTCTCTGAGAACGTGATTTAGGTCCTCGGATCCATTGTTGCAGAGTTCGTGCCGATCCTCTAAAGTCATATGTCTCCTGACTCTTTCTGTATTGGTTAACAATTTATTACTAAGCCCCAGCTATAAGAAAGCACGAGTTCGTTGTGCTCCTGGCTATTGCCAAGCAAGCTGCCACCCCTTTCGTTCCACGTTCCAACTCTCTTCTTTGATTAGCTGATAAGTTGTTTTCACTGTGAAGTGCCAGAGGAAGTATAGCTCCATTTGCATTGGTCTGTCTGTGTAGGATTCCTTGGGGTCCCATGTTCAGCAATTAGCTTGATTATCTCTATTGGTAGTCTGTCCCCAATTTTTTGCCAGTCCCTTGAGCCACTTGGTGTGATGAAGTGGTTTATTGTCTTACTAAGCTCCTCTTCTGAGATAGGTGTGAAAGAAGTGGTGCAGTGGTCCAAGTTCCCCAATCCAAAGATCAGTCCAAAATCTAATTTTTTTCCCTGTTTCCAACAGTCCATTTGAGACCCATTTCTAGATCCTCCCACATGGTGCCAAGGCTTTTCAGAGGTGTGATCCATTCCTAGCTTTGACCACTTTAAAATTGTCTTCTTGCTAGCCATATTTTGCTCTCAAAATTGGACCAAAAGAGATCAGCTGCGTGACTATCTTATAGGCCAGTTTCATTAGGAAGGCAGAGTTTTGAGCTGCCATGTCCTTTATCCCACTGCCTCCCCTCGACTTTGGCTGGCACATAGTTTTCCAGTTAATTAGGTGGACACTCTTTTGCTGTTCAATGGATCCCCAAACAAAGTTCCTCACAAGTGTTTGAATCCTATTGCAAGTGACTAGAGGAATTCTTGAGGATTGCATGGTGTAAAAGGGAATGGTGGATAGAACAGATTGGGCTAAGGTCAGTCTGCCAATTAGTGAGAGGGACCTGGCCTTCCAGCCCGTGAGCTTTTGCTTAACTTTCATCTCAATATAACTATATGTTTCTTTAGTTACTCTTTTGTGTATCAGAGGTACTCCAAGGTATTGTCTGAGGTTCTCAGTTTTCTGAAATCTTAGGTGCTCACATATAAGTCCAGCTGCATGTATGGTAACATTTTTGGAAAAGAAAACCCGAGTCTTCGAATCGCTCACTTTCTGACCAGATACGCAGCAGAGCTCTGAGAGTATATGCTTAATAGCAAGAATCTGAGCTGTTGCTGTAGTGCTAAAGAGAATCAAGTCATCAGCAAAGAACAAATGTGACAAAGGTGGCCCTCTGCGTCCCATTTTAATGGGTTGCCAGGTGTTATTTTTTACTGCAGCTGTTATCACTTGAGATAAACGTTCCATACATAGCACAAAGATGTAGGGAGATAAAGGATTACCTTGGCGTATTCCTCGTTGGGGAGTAAAAGAAGTGGATGGTCTTCCATTCCATAATACTTGCATAGCAGAGGAGGTGATGCATTTCATGATCAGCTCAACAAGTTTGACTGGTAGTTGTGCGTCTTGTAGAGTGTCTTTTACGAATTTCCAGTTAAGCCTATCGAATGCTTTCTCCAAATCGACCTTCACAACCATCCATCCCACTTTACCTGTTTTCTTCCTCATTGAATGTATAGTTTCTTGCGCTATAAGAATATTGTCAACAATATTACGCCCTTTAAATGAAGCTTGACTGGTATGGTAGTGTTAAAGTTGGCATGGCCATTTTCAGACGGTTGGCAATGATCTTGGTAATTGATTTGTAAACAGTGGTACACAGACTAATCAGTCTAAATTCTTTAAGAGTCTGCGGCTGGGCTGTTTTCGCTATGAGGGCAATGAGCGTTTTATTGAACTACTGATCGATATTGCCACCATCAAAAGCCTTCCTGACTTCTCGGTAAACAGAATCCCCAATAACTTCCCATTGGGATTGGAAGAATAAGGCATGCATTCCATTTGCTCTAGGTGATTTAAGGGGAGACATGTCAAAGAGAGTATGTTTAGTCTCTACCTTGGTTACAGGGCTATCAAGTATAGATAAGGAAGTATCTGAAAGTGATGGGAACAAACCTTTGTGCTTGTAAATTATGGTTGGGTGTTGATCATTAGCATACAGATGTTGGAAGTAGTCGACCACCATTTTGTGCAACTTATCTTGATCTGCTTCCCACATACCTTCTACATTTGGAGCATTTGTATTTTATTTCGCCGCCGCTTAACTAGCGCTTTGGTATGGTAATATTTTGTGTTTCGGTCTCCTTCACATATCCACTTACTTCTAGATTTTTGCAGCCAAAGCACTTCCTCCCTTAAGCAAATGTCTTTGAACTCAGCTAACAAGAGTCGTTCCTGATTGAGGAGATCAGGGGAGGAAGGGTTTCCTTCAAGAGCTCGCTGCACTTGTAAGAGTTTAGATTTGAGCCTCTTTTTACTTTGTCCAATCAACCCAAATACATTCTTGTTCCAACTTTGGGCTTCTTTTGTGAATGCTTCAACATTGTCTGCCAAGTTCCTGCTGTCATCCCAGGTTCTAGTAACGAGTTCATTGAAATCTGGGTGAAGAGCCCACGCAGCAAGGAAGTGGAAAGGGGCTGGGGCGCCGCGTGTGGTTGGTCCTGGGCTAATAAGAAGTGGACGATGGTCGCTCTGAATTTTCAGGAGATGCATCACCTGTGCATTGGGTTTATTGGATATCCATTTCTTATTACAAACTGCTCAATCCAATCTAACTAGTAAGTTCCCCCTCTACCAAGTAAACTTTGGGCCTACAAAGCCCATATCAATCAAGCCTTGTTGATGAACGAAGTTTTTGAAGCCTCTGCATCCTTGTAGGTTCCTTCATGCTCCTCCCTTGCATTCATCTGGCATTAAATTTGCATTAAAATCACCAGCTAAAAGCCAAGCTTCATCATCATCAATGTTTAGGTTGGACAAGTCCCTCCAAAGGGCTTCTTTGAGGGTTTGGTTGGGACTACCGTAGATTGTGTGCATTTTTAACTATAAGTAAAATGCCTCATTAAAGATAAGTAGAACTTACTCAGAAATTCAAGTCTTTTGATACTTTTAGATAATACATTTTTTAATAAAAGATTTTTCAATGCAATTAAATTCAAATCAAGTTTTTATAAAATCATAAGGTCTAAAAATCACAATTTAAAACTATAATACTGTCTAAAATCAAAATTCAATGAAATTTAAATATAATAACAGCATTAATCTTTTCTCTAAGAATAAAATCAGGCCATTCTTTACCCTTTCTTTTTTTCTTTTGGGATTTTGATGAGTTTAGCTAGTTTGTGGGTTTGATATGAAAATATATACGCAAAGAGGAAGAAACAGTTACACTATTCAATAATTTTGATAAAATGAAAGGAGATGGATTTCTTAAAGACAAAATTTAAAATTAAAGGAGCAATTTAATTTTGTCTAAGAATGATTTAATTCTTTTTAAAAAGTAAGGAAAATTTTTTGTCTAACATTATGTTTCTTTTTTCTCCATACACAAAGAAATTGAAGTTAAATGGATTAAAAAAAAAACTTCATGAAACTATGTAGTTAAAATAAAACCTTAAAAAGACAATGGTTTGATTTTTTTTTCCAATATTTTTTTAGGATTAATATTATATGTAGTTTATGCAATTTGACTTCATAAGGCTTTAAATTGTAAAAAATCTTTTTTACATCAAAATTAACTGTTTTTTCTAATTATAAATTTGTCATAGCGTGTCTAACTGCCTTCCACAAAATAAAAAGGCCACTAATTGAAAGTTGCGTGTGGGGATGGCGTCTGTGTTTTTTAATCACTCTTGACAATCTTCAAATTCACTGGCCTCCACAACATGAACTCAGTTTCAGCCATCGCTGCTTCGACCTCGTCTTCTTCATCTTCGCTACTCAATATCACCAAAATCCCCTCTTCTTCTGCAGTAGCTCCTTTTGCTCCTCGTCATGTTTATCCGAATCTTCGAAGGAGAAGGAGCCAATGGATGATTCTCCGAAAAAATGCTGAGAACCAGTCGATTACAGTTGCATCACCAACGACGACCACCAAAATTGATGACGACGATAGGGCTGTGAGTTCGGCTTCGGATGTTGTGAGGAACTTCTATGAAAGAATTAACGACCATGATGTGGACTCTGTTGTGGACCTTATTGCTGAGAATTGTGTGTATGAAGACCTTGTCTTTCCCCGACCATTTGTGGGTCGCAAGGTAACGAAGGCCGTTCATTTGAGATTATTCAAATTCGATCTTGTATTGTATGGTTTGTTTTTGTTTAGAGGAATAACTAGTTCACGTCTTACTTTTATTTTCATTTCTTACTAAATTTGAGTCGATAACAAGCTCACGTCTTGCTTTTTCCATCACGTCTTTTTAATTTCTTTTTATCTAGTTATATCATATCATGTCATCTCTAAGCCGCCAAATCCCCAAATCCCCCCTCTTTATCATGCACAAATACAAAAGCACACAAATAGACACTTAATCACTTGCCCATCTTGAAGCAATCCCAATATATGAAGAAATGTATAGTCTGAGTCCATTAGACTTTCGGATAGATTCACTAATGCAAGGGGCATATTAAAAATCTGAATTTTGGGAGTTGATAATCAAATTTTACAGCCGTGGTGTAAATTACATAAGTTGTTTTGTTGAAGAGGGTTTTGAGCATTTTAGCTAGTAAGCATGAACGGTAAAGGGTTAATGTAATACTAAAAAGGTTAGGCAATACAAATCTCAAGGGTTTGAAAATGTTGAACTTCGTGATAAAAGGTATGAGCACTAGCGGCCTCTAGCTTCCAAACTGAACTATTATTCATTGACAAATTCTTTTATGCTTACTCTTATTTATTTCACTTATAGGGGTAAGCAGGTAGTTACAATCATTTAGTGATCTGTAACTAAGTCCTTATTCAACAAAGAATGATATGTGCCTCAATTGCGAATGATACTAACCTTATATTCCATGAGACATTTTGTTATTAAGAAATAAGAAATTGAACATTGAAGTTGCAGTTTGCCTAGGTTTGGTAAGGAGTGGGATGAACTATTGTGAGCAAGGAAGATATTTTTTTTCTTCCTTTTTTGGGGCGGGGTGGGGGTTAGGCTTTTCTGTTATTTAAAATCTGATCAAATACCCAATCACTTGGATCCATTTCATTATTTTCTTGGTGGTCAATGGCTTAGGCCTTAGTTCAATTATGAGTAAGAACGAGAAACCTCACTTTACTATAATTCTTCAGCAGTAAAGAAATGGCCTTTGATGAAAAAAATTATTATCCAGTATCAGTTGTTCAAACTTCTGAAGTGCCATGATATGACAACTTTCGCTAGATCTAGCTTATCTTTAACTCTTGTTCAGGAAATTCTGGAGTTCTTCCGAAAGTTCACCACTTCTACCAGCAAAGATCTCCAGTTCGTTATTGATGATTTGTCCACTGATGATCCCTCATCAGTAGGGGTGATATGGCACTTAGGTACATTATTTCTAACCTGCTTTAAAATTTCTGTAGAGCACTATAGCTTTCATTTGATTTTGTATTCTTTTTTGGTTATTTCTTTTTAATGTGTATTATTTGGAAATGTCCACAGAATGGAAGGGGAAACCTTTTCCCTTTAGCAAAGGATGCAGCTTTTATCGTTTGGAGGTCAATAATGGAAAGAGACAAATAAGGTAAGTGGCATTGTTATTTTAATGGACTTTTAGTACTAAGAATGCATTGCCTTCGCGATGCTGGGCAGTCATTACAATTCATGATTATCTGTTGCTACAACGAACCCAGGCTGGTAGGTGGTATAATTTATTAATGTTTAGGTTAGCTGGTTCAATAAACTGGGTAGAACTTTTATTAAAAGACTTGTTAACGTCTCAATAGAAAAAGCTTGCTGGATAAGTTGATAGTAACCTTTCTTTATACTGCTGGACCCCCAAAAAAAAAAAACCTGCTTTACAATGCTAAAATAGCATATATAACTCTGCATTAATGTTGAAACAGAAGATACTCCTTTGATAGGAGGTCACAACACCGAAACTTGCACACATATCTTAATCTAATGCCAGGAATTCACAATAATACACACGCCATTACACCGTAGTCACTCACACAAAAACAATACTGCACACTCAGAATATTCACAAGCAAACACGAGACAACAGAAGCAACATGACAGTTTTTGGTTTTCTTGAGAGGCAAGTTTTCTCCTTTTTCCTTCCAAAATTTTTTCTCCTGCGCTTTCTCATTCAGTATCCATTATAGTACGCCTTTCCGGTTACTCCCCATCTGTCTCTCCTATTTTTCCATCATTATTCCCTTTTTGCTCCCGTTTTGCTGTGTTCCTTTCAACCATAAACCTTGGTGTTTTTTGTTTCACATCCAGTCCTTTTTTCTTCTTCAGTGGTCCTGTCTTCTTCTCCCTTTCACTATTGTCTGTTACTGTACGTTTAGGCTGCTTGCATGAGTTGAGTCCCATCACAAAGGAATGATAATGTGGTCTAATGGATCTTTTATCGAGGCCAAGATACTATCTAGGTCCTAGGATACATGTCAAATGCACTCGATTGATGCATGGTATCTATTCTTCCCTCTTGGCATGGGGTGGTTAAGGTTAAAACATAGTTCAAATTCAAACCAGAATGAGATGGAGATCGATATCAATTTTCTTGTAATCACAGAATTAACTTCATACATGTTGTCAAATGTAGATGCCAAAATGTTCCCTTACCTTTGATGGAATTGAATTCCTTAAGAGGCTCCTTCCAAAGCATGGCAGCCTAAATTCTCATTCGTAAATATTTTGATTTCTTGGTTGTTTCTTCCATCCTCAAAATTCCAAAATTATTGAAAGCAGAGGATATGCCAACTCACTTCAATGCAAGTTTTCTGTTGGGATATTATTTATTTAGATTGTATTTATTTGTAAATGGTTGTAGCTAGTGGATGGTCGCATTTGTAACAGAAGTGTTTATAACTAGGCTTGTGTACTTCCTTATTTTTAATACAAACTCTTCTTTCTTCACTTTCATACGATATCTCAGCCAGGTTCTGGGACTTGTGAGTTACAGACCCACCTGCTTTATTCATCTTCATATTATACACACTTTCTTTCTTAATAATTTCAATCCAAACCTTTAGACGTTTTTTCATTGGCCTTTCTATTAGATGATACTCATGACTTAAATTTTATTTCCTTTAAGTCAAACTAAACCAATCGAAGCTTTCTTATAGAATATCTTTTTTCTTTTTAATTTTTTTATATGACAGATATGGGCGAGACAGTGTAGAACCAGCAGTTAAGCCCGGGGATGCAGCTCTGGTATGTCAGTTTTCCTTCGTTTCAGCAGTAAATTTTTCATGAGAACGAGGGAAAAGAAGGTTCCTCCATGTGATGTGAAGTATTTTTTCTCTAGATGGTCCATGGCAAATAGGTCATATCAAAAGCTACTAATAGATGTTTTGCCCAAATAAAAATATCAAGTGTCATCAAAATTTATGGTATCTGAAAATAATTGTTGTTTTTGCATTTGACTCCCACTGTTTAGAGGTTGAAATTTTGATTAGCTCAATTAAGTACCTCACTTTGTTTTTGAAGCTTTTATTCATAACTCTTCTAGAAATTGAAGTCATTGAACTTCCAGGAAACAGTGACATCATGGCTTATTTAATAAAATGTTTTTGATTTTTACAAGGGAATAGTTAATTTTGCTTTGAAGACCATATCTTTCTGTTAAAGTTTAATGATTTTGTCATAACTTTTCGTGAAACCCAAGTCAAAATTCTATGACATCACTGGATTAACTTTTAACTGTGTCTGGTCCAATGTAGGTTGAAGTTTTATCAATTTTGCGTAAATATTTATTTGCTAACTACTGACTCTCCCATCATCAGATGGTAAAGTCTCACTCTCCCATATTAGTTCCAAATGGGCCTGAAAACTCATTCTAAATAAAATAACTGACTTTCTTGTTCCTTATATCTGCTTCCCAGGTCCTTTTGTTATTAGTTAAATAGTAGGTTTTATTGCATCTGACATAGTTAATTTCAGGAAAAGGTCAGATTCAGATTTTAAAAAAAATATTTTTCAGTAAGTTGAGAATAACTATTGGCATGGCTTACATAGTAATTGTATAATATCAGGCAGCAATCCGGAGTGTGACTTGGCTTTTTCAACAGTTTCCTCAGCTAGCAGACATGTTGTGATCAAAGGTTTGCAGTTTACATAATTTCAAGATGCAAATGTCCCTTATTTGTTCACTTACTGCTTATTGTCTACCTCCAATATTGCAGTCAGATTGGTAAACATATGCTTCCTCAACACATGAAAAGAACAGAAAACGATGTGAAGCAAGTATGGAAAGAGTCTGTACAGGTCCGTCACGTTCCATGTATGTGAAATGTAATTACATTAGTGTTCATCATGGATGGGTTGATCAACACGTCAATCAAATTTTAATGATAAATTGAATCTTCTATAGATCTATTATATGCAATAATTATAATTTCTTATGTCATTCGTTCTTTTGTAATCCCTTTAAATATAAATATACTACATGCAATTCTTGTTTCGACCGTAACAGACCTGCATTCATTCAATACATACTTCTATTTATTTTTGTTATCATAAATAATTAGATATGTTTTCTCGTTTATTGTATAATGTCTAATCCTATTAGGTATTATATTATCTGATTACAACCTTTCAAACACTATTAGGCTTTTTAATATATCGGATAGAGCCTTGAAATTTTTGCCATACCTTGTTTTCTCTACGTTTCGCATAACAGAAATTAAACCCAACCCGGAAAAAAAAGGAAGACTCAATCAATTATTACTGTTGTCCAATTCATATTTCTTTGATGTAGGGTTGCCCTAGGCTAATCATGTTGTTAGATTGATTACGGATGATTTCTCTGGTGGAAGGGTTTAAGGTCAAGACAACCTCATAGCCATCAAAATATGAGTCCATTCCTTCACCCCCAATCTGCCAAACCAAGCCTCCTGCAATTGTTCTTCCACTTTTTGCCAAGTTGTAGATGCTTGCATATACTTCAGTCATAAACGCATCCCTCTGTTTAATACTGAATCCTGGATCTTTGCTTGATTTACCAAACTCGCCGAAAACTAATGGCTTCTTCAAGATGCTCTTCGAGTCTGTCCAGTGAATTGTCAACCATCTTTTCAGGAACTCCATCTGGGTTTTCTCACTCTCTCCTGCAAGCCTGTAAATTTGCATGTACATATTAGGGTTTACTATATATGACAAGGATATTCTCAAAATGATTCTTTGTATGTGCTAACTAAGATTATGTCTCGCTTTGAACAAAATTTAGGTTACATTCCTCATATTGGAGAATTACATTTGAGAGATTAGATTATTTTAGGTTATCTTTATCGGCTTTTGAAAATTGTACAGGTTAAATAACTCTTAAAAGTTTTTAGACGATTATACTTGGTCTTTCTAGCACCAAAATCCTGTTAAGAATGTATAAAAAAGGCTGAAGAAATAAATAAAGTTGCACAAAGCCAATGAAATGTGGGAGAAAGATAGAAATGATAAAAAAGTTTGCCCGAATCCCATAAAGGGTGTAGCTTTTCTATCATATATTGATTGATTGATATGTGATGATTTCATGAAATAGACTTACCAGATAGCCGGGTATGCATGAATGGTAGCAAAATCAACATATGGAATAAGATTGTTGTTAATAAAATCAGTGCCATATTTTAGAGACTTAGGGTTGTACTGAACCCTATCTGGTGTTGAATAGAATCCTTCCATCCCCACTGTCACCAAATGCTTATTATCTATGGATTTCACGTAGCTGCCCATCTCCTGTATCCATCTCTGTGTATCATGTTTAACATTCATCAACCTTCAGCTTCCCAAGTATTTTACTTTTGATGCAATTAAAAGGGAAAACATGTTCAGTTGATCATTAGTTTAGTTCTTCGTTAAGTAATTCTGTTTCAAAAAGATAGTTTTGGGTGCAACTATGAGCAATATTTTTATGTAATTTGTACAATGATTAGTATAAGGAGAAAATGGTGGGTAGGAATCCATAATGTCAAATAACTAAACTTTTTCTTATAATGAATGAATGGTATTACTTATGATTTGTGAATGACATAGCTTCTTGTAAATTTTATTGTTCTAAGCATGAAAACCAGTCAAAATAAGAATTCAGTTAAAATTAGCTTACTCTTTGAAATTTTGGATAATGCAGATAACTATTGAGTCTCTCTTGGATATCTAACGTGAAACAAGTAATTGAGAAAAGAAAAAGGTAAAAAGTTGAAGGAAGTGAAAACAGGAGGTGATATGGCTTACACCAATGGTTTGGCCGGAAGTGTCAACTTCACAGCGAGGCTCATTGATAAGCTCCCACGCCATGATTGTGGGGTCATCTTTGTATGCCACACCATTTACTTGTAATCAACGTCTGCCATCAGCACTAAAAATATTTACAAGATCGTAGAACAGGGAGAACGACGCTAAAAGAAGAAACCGAGGGGAGAGTCATGAACACAAGTATAAGGTCCTTCCAACTAATCTATATCATTGTATTATGGTCTCATTTATCAGATTTAATGTACATCTAGTCTTATGAATCTAAAATATTGCCTTCTATACATATATATATATATATATATTATATAAGGTTGGAGGGGTTTGGACAATGGAGGGAGTAGGTTGGGTGGCAGTAGTTTGGTTCTCCCTCGCCGGTGGTTGCTTCTCCCTCTACGACGGGTAGCAAATAGTGACCGAAAGGGTGGAGGAAGGAAATCAAGAAGAGGAAGAGAGCTATGCTTATGTGCAAAATAGGAATTTGTGAAATATTAAGGGGACAATTTGGTCGGAAAATGTTAAATCTCATGACCCATTTTCTAGTACGACGGGATGATGGTATTGTATAATCCCACGTAGGATGATAGGATTGGATTGGACTCTCCAATGCCGCATACTAAACAAGAAGTTGGTATTATTCAATCCAAACTCGTCAATTCCACATATCAAACATGGCCTAATACGCCAGTAATAATAAGGGAGCAGATTTTTTTTTGGGGGGGGGGGGGGACAATAAGGGAGGAGTTAAACTAAAGCCCATCCCCATCATCTGTAAATAATGTAAAGAAATTCAAAAAAAAGAAGAAGAAGAAGAAATGTGAGTGCGCATAAATAAAGTAAAGGAGGCCTACACTCACATTTCGCTATGCCATCCCATTTCTTACCATTAATTTACTATTTCTTTAAATAGCATATCATTTTTTTAATAATTATAACCAAACACAAGATAATTTTTGCATTTTACACATAAATTATCTAAATGATCTAAACAAACAAGCCTTTGTACTCATCTAGATATTTTAAAAAAATACTTTAAAAGAAAAAAAAACGATAACAATATTAATACTGCACTATTATATTACTCCTGTGGACCTTAACATCGGAGTTATTATATAATACTCCGGTCCTAATTATAAAACCTAACGATAGGTTTTATAATTAGGACCGGAGGTAGTATTATATTATATATCAAGTCATAAGTTAATGTAAGAGATCCAATCATATTTTTTATAATTAGTCTTTTTGATTTCTAAAGTGAAAACTAAATATGGGTATCTCTCTCAGTGGGGAGTTGAATTTTGTTTCGTCACATTATGAGAAACTAGTGTTTTTTGCTATATCCAACTCCTATTGATATAATTAATCTATTTAAATTAGTTAAATAGTTCATATGTTGACGGGGACAACAATTAAATATACCTTGGCATTATTCTTGTAATAACCTTTGACGAGAGGATGAGTGTAAAAATCATCATCGCTGGCGAGAGAGGCACCACCGCTTCTGGCCCATTCCACGTATTGATGCCTTCCACCAAACGTGACATAGTTATTTATGAGACTCATTATCAGCTTCATATTATGTTTCCCTGCTTCCGCCACCACAAAATCAAGTGCCTGCCTTCATGTGAAAATTTGTCAACTATTTTTAACAAAAATAAATTACTTTCACATTCCAAAACTACCACTCTATTTCAAATAAATTTCTCTTTCTATTATTAATGTTTCTGCAACCCAACTATCAATATTTTAAATACAAAAATTGCATAATGAAATAATGGAAGGTATTTTTGAAAATACAGGCGTGAATATAAGAGCTATATAAATAGTTTACATATATTAAAAAAATTAATTAGATTAATTATTTGTAACAAATGTGTATTAATTTTTTTTAAACTACCCTTCATTAGCTCCATTGATGAAAATCCCCATTAATATATATAATTAATAAAAATCATTTGAAGAAAAAAATTATAAATTTAAAAGATATAATATATCAAGGCCAAAACCTCCCAATTAACTCTTACATTTAGATTGAATGGAGTACTATTTTTCATAGGTCACACACGAGCGTGCATGACAGCTTGCTTGTGTCCTGTCATGTCCTGTTCTCCTAGACAAATCTTTAAAAGAATCATATTTCAAAAAGCTAGCCGTTAGAATGGGAGCGTATAAAGCCTTATAAGGCTTGCCTTTTAATATAACCCTTTCAATATGAAACTCATAACGTGCCAAAATAAGCCTATTACGACCAAGACACTGAGCACCAGCATTAGAAATTAGAAAGAACAAAAGTTTTTAAATGACATTTTTATAGTATAAAAGAATAAAGGAAATATTATATGTATGTATAAAGAAAAATATAAGCCAGTGTAGTTTTTTCCCAATGATTTATGAAAAATCCAACGTATTTCTCAAATTCCGATGGAGATAACCTGAAAGAAACGCTCGTCGTAAACGCCGGGAGATTTCTGGAGGGCACGATCACCGCCGTCACTGAAAGCCCAGATGCGACAGACGCCAAGAGCGACTCTAGAAGCTTCTAGAAACACAGCGGGCACTATATGCTTCTGGCTGGCTTCTTCTGCAACTTGCATCATCCAATATGCATTGAATCCATTAAACAGAAACTCAGATCCATTCCACACAAATTCTGTTCCCCTCCTCCCCACAAATTCTCCGTCAGAAGAAGAAGAAGAGATCATCAACACAAAAAGTAACCCTAAAATGCTCATATTCTGTAGATAAGTTTTCTTTTACAGAAAATGAAGGATAATTTGATTTGGTGAATGAATCAATGAATGTTGATGATATATATATATATATGTATGTATGTATGTATATGTGTATGTATGTACGTAGCGAGGTGGCCTTCTTTAATTGTCTTAATTACTTTCCTTAATTTTCAATTGGGTATATTTAATGAGAAGATTTCTGTGAACATCATTAACATTCAACATATAATATTGTCCAGAAATGAATAAATTCCTTTAAAGTTGACTTTCACTATATCCAGGGGACTTTCACTAGACCTTTGTATTTTCTACGCAGCCTAAAAATGAGTCATGCTACTACCTCCGGTCCTTAATATAAGATTCTGTTTGACTTTTATTTTGATCATAAATATAAGACCCTAATCCACTTTGTCTTTCATATTTATACATTTTTTTCCAAAGTAGCTCTTCTAATTAGCAAGGATATTTTAGGAAAAACAACATTTATTTAGGATAAATAACTAACTCAACTTACTTCTTCAATCTCTTCAAATTAGTCAACTGACTCTTATAATTAGGATCAGAGATAGTATTATTAATTATGATTTGTGGGCTCTTTTTGTTGTTTTACACTCTTCTCTAATGATACGTAAGGTTATTTTAAGGCGGCCATGTTGACTTTGCTAGAATTAAGTGTCTTATATAACTTATGAGTTGTTTAAATTAATTAAGCAGCTCTTATATTAAGGACCGGACCAATAGGAAATTAATGGTTTTCCTTACAAGCGGATCCAAGAAATGCAAGTGAGGAGGTTATGTGAAATACAAGCTTGCGTGAATCATCTTTTCTCTTTTCACCAGATTATGAGCATTACTTAAAAGTCCGTTTGGTATGAGGAAAATTGAGGGGAAAGGTGAGGATGAAAAATTTTAATGTGCTCAATTTAAAAAATTGAAGAAATGAGGTTTTAAAATTTTAATAGAGAGTAGTTGTAAGATAAAAAAAGTTTTTAAGCTCCCCATTTCTTTAGAGCTGCAATTTGTCATTTTGGTCAAATTATTTGGTAACAATTAAAAGGATGTAAATTAAAGAGGATGTTACTAATCAACCAAAAAAAAAGTAGGCAATTACATAGAGAGGTTTACAAATTAAAGAAAGTGAAATTTAACGAAGAGAGGAAAGTGGAAGCATAATCTGCCATTATTTCAACAAGTTCCAAAATCACTAGATCACTAGCTAGTTGGAGGAAGCCGCCATCGTTCTCTTCATCCATCAAAAGAAAGGGAAAAGATCAAAGGATCGGGAACCAGTACAAGTAGTGAGGAGAAAGAAGAAGAAGCTAGCTAGTTCAGAGGAAACTTGGAATAACGACCGGATATGAGTTCAATGTTTCAGAATGGAGTTGATTCTTCCTTGAAGTGGTGATGATGTTGGTTTAAGGAAGAGGTCGATGTAGAATAGAGAGCTATATGCTACCTCTGATTCTTAATATAAGAGCTAATTCGATTTTTAATCTGGTCCTAAATATAAAATTCATATCCATTTTGTTTATCGTATTTATTTATTTTTTCTAAAACATTCATTGTAATAGTTGCGCATATTAAATATTTTATCAAACGATACTTGATTGCAAGGATATTTTAAGAAAAACAATATATATTTATTACAAATAACTAACTTAATTGATTTCCTTAATCTACTTAAATTAATCAACTACCTCTTATATTAAGGATTGGAGGTAGTATCTCCAAAAAAATTGTACAAATGAGGGCACTAAGGAAGTAGATTGGGGGGACCAAGTGTATGAGGTACTGTCAAAGAACTACAGCCGCTTTGGCTGCGCAAATATTAAGGGACGATGGTTTGCGCAAAGTCTTGGCCTGGGTTCTTTGTCCTCATGTCATACATATGGAGAGGAAGCTACAATCTTTCATTCTTTCTTAGTATAACAGTTAGTTAAAAATCAGATTTAGTTTTAAATATAATATCTCAATTCACTTTATTTCTTAAATTTTTGTTTTTTCCCTTCTAAAATATCTTTATTGATCATTGTAGTAGATTCTCATCAAGAGATAGTTCTAATACATATGATTGAATATGATAGTTTGAAAAAATCAACACATATTGATTATAATCAACTAACTTAACTGATTTTTTTTAATCTTTTTAAATTAGTTATGTAACTAGTTCTTATATTAAAAATAGGAAATGATATTTTTGTAGCAAGTGTTGGGTTGAAAGGATTTCAAGATCGCTGCTAGCTAGCAAATAACATTAAATACCTCTTTGATTGGTCTTCTATGATATGGTTTTCTATAACTATATTAAAATGTTTTCGATCCTAAATTAAATAACATGACGCAACAAGAAGCAACTGATTAAAACTTAAAATAGAACTATTTCCATCAAAATTGGACTGAAAACATGCAACCATCATAAATCCAAATCCACTAGAGCGAATAGCCAAAAACAATGTTCCCTCATTATATTAAAAAATTAATTAGTTAAGTGACTACCAAAGTATGAGCTCTAGAAACCCTAATGGAAGCTTCATTGGTTGCTTGCATGAGATGGTGGAATGAAGGAAGTGTAGAAGTCCAAGTGTTGTTGCTATGGCCTGACCATTTCATTTGCATGAAGTTGCTCTTCCTCCATGGACCCAAGTGGATCTTCTTCTCCTTCATTGACCTCTTGGCAGCACCACACATGACTCGGATAATCGCCGTCAGGTACTCCGGCTGACCGACATAGAATTCCGGCAACAATGACAATAGTTTCTTATATTCTTCTCCTGCTCTTGCAATCTGAAACTGGTCTCTTAGCTCCAATTCAATTAGATATGACATTTGCTTCTTTCTTGTTTGTGTGTTTGGCATCACTTCTATATACTGATGTGAACCTTCCCATAAAATAAAACCAATCATTAGAAAGAGTGAATGTGTGTGATTGATTATTAATAACCTGATCACTAATAGTTTTAAGGTGCGAAAATTTACAGTCATGGTGAAATATTTCTGGATGTTGGCTGTTTTAAAAAATATTTTAAGGTACTGAACGCACTTAAAAAAACACTTAGCTTTAAGATGTTGGATGTATAAGAGAAAATACTTTAGAGTATTGGATGTATCATAACACATTAATTTACAGACTATAATTTATGAAAAAAACTTAGTTTTGCAAACTATCATTCAAGCACATGCAACATCTTTTTTTACTTTAAAAAGATCATCTTTTATTTATTGAAATATATGATGCAACATGATGATAAATGACAAATCATAACAAACAATAAAATTATTTTTGATAAAATTATTTCAAGGAAAAAGAAGGAAAAAAAAAAAAAAAAACGGGAGTACCTCCGGGGAGGCTTTTAGTGGAATCCCATTTGGAGAGGCGCAGGGAGGCACTGTAACCTCTGAGAGAAAGCAATGAAACCACAAGTGTTCTTAAACAGTGGGAACACCCATACGACGTCGTTGAGTTGGGTTTCCTGCACTCGCATCCATATCCATATTGTGGGACCTTCTTGGCCTCTTCCAATATTTCTCCAACCTCTTCTCTTAATTCCCAACCTACCCTCTTGTATCTCTCTACGATTTCCTATGAACCACCACAACATTAAATATTAAAACCAAACACAAAAATAATTAATTGACCAAAAAAGAATCCCAAACAATTATTGAATAATTTCTAAATTGCAAAAAATCAGATAAGAAAATGAATTTATATAATTTAAATTAGACCTGAACCATTAAAAGATAGGGAGAAAGACATAAAACAGATAGGGAATTAAAATTTATTAGCAATATTATATGAGTATTTTTAATGACAAGTTGACAATAACAATTAAAGTAGTGATAAGTAATTTTATTGAACGTAATTAGATCATTTTTTTAAAAAAATACTTTTTAAGGAGTTCATAAAAATTAAATGATTTCAAGGGACTTTTTAAAAATTTTTATATTCAAATTATCGTTTTATCTTTTCTCTCTCTAGAAGATGCATAAGGCATATTTAATTAGAGAAAATCATTTTACAACTACCTATAGTTTTCCTCAAATTTTAATTTGATACATGTGTACATCTTCTCTTAATTAAATATTGAAATTTTTTTCTATTAACACCATTAACTTTTATAGAGGAGCTAACGGTACTATCAGAGCAAAGTTATAAAAACTAACGGTGGTAACAAAATAAAATTAAAAGCTTTAAATAAAAAAAATTGATATCGAATTAAAAATTGGAAAAAAATTATAATTACCGACAAAATAATTTTTTCCGTTTAATTATCCTCCTTTCTTTAGACAAACCACAAGGCACAAGTGGGTGTGGCCGTGTGGGGCGGTGGGCACAAGCATGTTGTTTTATTTAAAAATAGAGCCTTGTCTTTTTGCTCGCATTGTGGGCCCGTGGTTCAAGGAATATTCCGTTCTTATTCCAATTGTGTGGCTCACATATTTTCTCTGTTTCTTTTCTTTAATTATGTCGATTTTTTTTAAAAGAAAATTGTCTTCGTTTATCTTTCATAGTTTCTTTATTGAAGTTTCAACCTCCATGGCAACATGGCTTATTATTATACTTTTTGTATTATATCTTTATTTTGACTAACTTTAAAAATAAAAGATTCTGTGTACTTTTTAATTTATATACTAAAACCTTAAATGACATAGGAAAAGAAAAATCTAAATTTATTAATATTGTAACCCAAAAAATATAGACGTGAGTCTACATTATATTATTTCTGACCCTAATTACAAGACCTCCTCTATAAACAAGATCTTATAAGTAGGACCGGAGGTAATATAGAATATGACTTGCAGAATATAGTGTAAGACTGTGTTTGATAATTTATATTGATATCAAAAGATTAGTCAAGTTAGACCTCATCTTCTAGCATTTCATCCAAGACTAAGAGCTAAAGGTATTTTAATCTTAGTATGCCAAAACTCTGTATTTCAACTTAGATATTAATTTAATATCCTTAAGATTCAATAACTTCTTGTTCATCCAACACAATCTTTGAAAATACGAACAAGATGATATGGTATTTTTATGCTTAACAAATAGAAGTTTTTTGTTTTATCAAACAAACTTAGAAAATTTTCATGAAAATCCTATGTTATATTGTAAAGGTAGAAAATTTTCTTCATGATGAGTCATTTTGCTACCACTTTTGTCCAAAATTGCGGGTTTGTCAGATTTTTTATGATATAAAATTTTTTTGCCATGACTAAAAACCACTCCATTAATTAAATACATAAAAGAGAATATCCTTTTTTTTCTTTTCTTTTCCAAGTTTACCCTCCTCTTATATACAAGAGCACTAATAGATTGTCTTAAATTTTTATTGTCATTTTTCATTCTTGCCTACACTAATTATTTATTAACTTTACTACATTAATTATCTACTTTTCTCACTCGAACTCCCTATAAATAATATTTTTGAAAAAATATATATATTTATATATTACTTTTAACTAATTATAGTCAACTTTTTAATTTACATAATTCAAATATTTATATCTTATTGAAAATAGGAGCGAATATTTGTCAATTCAACATCTTCCGTGATAAAATTCTCAGGTAGATTTTTGTCTCACCACACAAAGTAATGAGTGGCGGAGCTATCATACCAAATAATTAAGTTGTCTTTAGTCATAAATAATAGAATAAAATAAAAAAATACATGTTATTATCAGTCAGATATTATTTTTTATTCTAATTATAAAACGTCATTTGTAAATTAGAAACAAGATATTATAATTAAAACCAAAGGTAGTATTTCACAAATCCCACTCAAATAAACATAAAATGATAATTATTTTTCATTATGGATATAATTGTCTTCTTCATTTCAAACTCATTGTCAGCCACTAATATAATATAATATAATGATACTATTAATCTTTAATATAACAGCCGGTTTAACTTTTATTTTGAGTTTTAAATATAATATTTCAATTTATTTTATCTCTCATATTTATTTTTTTCCTGAGAAAGTTCTTATAATAATAGTAGTTCTAACCAGTACACTTGATTATTAATGATATTTTAGGAAAAACAACACATATTTATTACAAATAACTAACTTGACTAATTTTCTTAATCTACTTAAATTAGTCAACTAACTCTTATAGCTCCAACTCTAATTATAAGACTTTGTTTATATATTACAAATAAGATCATATCAGAGTCAGCAGATAATAAGTAAGAATGGAAAACCCTCCTTATACCAAGATTTTGAAGCCGAATTTTACCGTTATGGATTTTAAAAAATATATTAGTTACGCTATAGATTCATCCAACAAAATTCACGCTTGGTTTGATTTTTCCCAGAACTCCAACAAGCTTACATGTACATAAATTAATTCTCTGTATTTAATTAATTTAAGCGTCTAAACTAAGTAAAACCTCATTAACATTCTGGAGTTAACTGATGAAGAAAACATATAAATGGGAAATTACAAAAACAAAAGAAGAATACCTGAAGCATGGCCTCCTGAGATTCCCAGTACAAGGTTCTTTCTTGATGATGATTCTGCAGCTCGTCACTGAAATTTTCTCGTTTGAAGTTTTCAAGCGAGTGATTCAACTCTGATATCCCAGAACATTCTTCTTCTTTGTCTTCGCCTATGAACAGACACGCTTCATTTTCGAGGCTGTCCATGGTGGCCTTGATTTTCTCTGCGAGAAAATTTGGCCCCTCTTTCTGCAGGAAAGCAGGCGAAGGAGAGAAAATGAAATGAAGGGAAGTGGGAGAAAAATTGGTGGGGGAAGAGATGGCAAACCTACTCTTCTTTCTTGCAAGAAAAGCAGGATGGGACGTGGGAGATATAAATATAAATGGTATTCCGCGTCAGCTCCGAGAGTCATGTTTACGAAGAAATAACCAAAAAAAACTCACAGGAAGAATTACAATAAAGTCTTAAAAAAAATATAACTATAAAAAATCTTAAAAATAAATTAGAAATTATTGTTTTTTATTTTGAAATTTATCATTATAAACTGCTTAGTTATTATTGAGAATTTTTAATAATTATGTTCATTCTACTAATAGAGGTTGGGAGTAGCGGAAAAAATTAGTCCCCCATAATATGGTGAAACAAGGTTTGAATCTCTATTGGGATAGGAACCTATATTTAGTGCTCGACAATATATCAAATAACATTAATTTCAATAAGAGAATATCTATGTTTTAGCTAAAAATAATTATATTCATTGTTTGAGATTTTATTAGTTAAGAAGTTCACGCTGTGAATATTTGGTCCAATTTTATTTAGTTCAAATTCCTTTTAGGGAGAATGTAGTTAAAACACCTCAAAATTAAACCATGTTGAAATAACAGTTCAATATCAATAATTTAAACCTATTTAAATTGAGATCAACCAAAATATAACTAAATTAATATAATTAAAATATATAAACATATCTATACATAACTCTAAAAAAATAATATTTAAATAAAAAAGTATTCAAAGTAAATAAAATATCTTTGTATAATTGCAAACAATCTAATAAAATAGATTTGCTAAATTATAACATGACAATTTTTTTTTGAACTCAAAACAACCTCTTTTCAGATACAAAATGATAACCTTTAGAATTTGTTTTGTAGCTATTTTTTTCTTTAAGACTTTATTATAATTATACTTTTCGAAAACTAGTTTTCGTCAGTAATACCAAAATATGCAACTATAAAAAAAAATTAATAATAATAAAAAATTATAAAAGTAAAATAAAACTGCAATTGAGTTGATAATAATATTTGAATTTGGGAGTTTAGAATGACCAATATCATCAATGTAATGTATAAATTGGGAAAATCAATTTTTTTTTATTCTTGAAATTTTGACTTAGTTACAATAGTCCCTAAAATTTGATTCCACGGAACTTAGTTCCAAAACTTATGATTTATCTAAAATTCAGTTCCTAGTCCGTTTATAATTTTATCTTTAATATAAGTCAACACTAACTCATCCTATATGGCCAAAAAAAAAAACAGTAATAATACTATTAAAAATTACTTATGTGGCTTTCAACCCAACTCCTCGTGGAATTTATTAAAAAAAAAAAAAAGTAAGTAGAGACTAATTTTTGCCAACATGAGTTGGCACAAGTGGTCCAAATTTCTGGATACCGCCTCAAATTAAAGTCCCACCCAAGTGTAATATCTGAGTCATTTGAGTGGCTTGGAACTAATCCAGTTTGGCCACCCAAATATCTAGACCATTTGGTTGGATTCTCAATTCTGTACCATGAAATTGGCAACATTAAAAAGTTGTATATAACTACAAACTCTATTAGTCTTTAAGACTACCTTTTCTTGTTATTTCTTCTAATTCTAAATATAAAAACTAATAGATATGTTTATTTTGATCTTAAATATGAGATATTAATTTATTTTGTTTCCCAGGTTCATAATTGTTTTCCCTTAAACTCTTCTTAATGATTGCATATATTAAAAGGTTTTTCATCAAATGAATAATATTCAATGCTAATCATTCAAAGAAGTAACTCACACGTTTGTTCTTTATAAATAATTAACTTAATTAATTTTTTAATATGTACAAATTAATTATTTAATTTTCACATTTAGGATAGAAAGGAATATATTTTTCAAAACTAAGATCTCACTCTTGACATGGATGTTGTGCTGGAAAACCAAAATTTTCCCTCCAAATGTATATCCCCTTGTTATTATATATATATATATATATATATATATATAGGGAAATTTGAACAAATTGGTTTGTGACTTTGATATTTATATATTAGGAAGGGGATTGAGTAGTTTATTTTTCTAACATTAGCTGAAACTGTGAAGGCTGGAGTTAGTATTACAAGTTTAAGATCAACGATTTAACGTTGATATTCAAATTGAGCCTTTAAAAATTGAGCGAGCTCCATGCATGTTTGGTAACCTCCAATAATCAATTCAAAAAAAAATTTTATGCTTTATGAGATAAAATTCTTCTCATATGACACAAAATCACCTAAAATAAACTAATTTTCTTGTTGATTGCAATTGGGAAAATATTTCTATTGTTCAACACAGCAAATTTGTAATGACTTTTCCCCCCATAAAATTCCTGATTTCCCACTAGACTTACCAATTTTTTACCAACTTTGTGTGTGACTAGTTCGTTAAATGATCCAATTGACAAGAAAATTATATATTTAAAAAAAAGAAAGAAAGATCCCTCCATATTGTTGCAGGAAGATAGAGAAGGTAATTAAGAGTTTCATCTGGGGCAAACAAAAGATCAAGGAGGTGTTAATCTCATTAAATGGGATGATTTATGTCTTCCAAAAGATTTTGGGGGTGATGGTTTCAAGAAACCAGAAGCTCAGAATAATGCTTTGTTAACCAAGATTACTTTCAGACATAGTTCATCATCAAGCTCTCACGTTTGGAAGAATTTAGGCAAGGTTTGGGACCCCATTGAAGTGGACCTTAAATGGAATTCTAGAGATGGTGCTAAAATTAAATTGTAGGGTGACCATTGAGTGGGAGAGCATGGTCCTCCCAAGCTGCCAATTACTTTTGCAGAAGACAAACCTAGTGAGGCACTTTCACTCTCTCTATTTGCAAGTTTGAAAACTTTATCCCTTATGAGGGTTTTATTTTGCAAATGACCAAAATTAAGGCTTCATCTTCAAATAGGAATTAGTTTGGCATAACGAATCATAAGCTTTTTACAGCTCATAGAAAAAAAAAAAACCATGAGTAAGGTCTTCACATCGACAACAAGATTTGAATTTATGATTTTGTAAGTTATGAACTGACTCCTTAATAACTAGACTAATTTTCATTGACAGTGAAATTGGTTTCTAATCCTTCCTAACTCAATCGAGCTTCCTTGTTTATGGAACCTTTGGAAAAGTGGCTCCTTAGGAGCCTGCATCATAAACTAGGAAGCTGCAATAAATGAATCCTGTTTGGGATTATGTGCTGAAAACTGTAGAGCTCTCGACACCAACATGCTTTTCAGAAATATCACACATTCACCCTTCAAAATTGCTTAGACATTCTTTGGCACGCTACACAGGCTATAAACATTTTGAACATCTTTTGGTATCTCTTATTTGTTTATATCTCCTTTTGATATGAGTAGCTGGTGAAGCATGGGTTTTTTGGGTTCGCATCTCCTTTTGTAATTTCATTCTTTAGTGAAAATTTTCCCCTTTTCCAGTTTTGTTTTTTTAAAAAAAAAACAAGAAGAAGAAAGAAACAAGAGACAATAATGATACTTCGTTTATTATGCTATGGGCTAAGCTAGCCCAAAGTTCGTTGTGGTTGTTAGGCCCATTGTTATGCTTGACTACGTCCACCTCTTTTTTTGGTGTTTCTTTTTTTTTTTTCTTTTTTGTTTTTTCTTTGTAAAACCCCTAGTGTTCACTAATGATAGGATTAAGTCTAGTGAAATAAGCTAGTTTCTCACAACGTAAAGTAACAAAATTTAAAACCTTTTTAAAAAAAGTGTCTACATTTAGTGTCAGAAACAAAAACAAAAAAATAATTTGCTACATATTTTATTGTTGAGAAATTTTTCATAATTTATTTTATTAATTAGTAAAAATTTAAACTTTGTTTTCTATGAAGAAAATAAATTTGTGAATATTAACCTTTAATGGATATCATAATAAATTTGTTAACCTTTAATAAATTTATGAATATTAACTATAAATAGGCAAGCTCTGATATCATAATTCAATTCTTGATTTTCAATTAGATGATAAACACAAATAACTGATTTTCTAAACAAATCGGAGGGCTACATAACAATTTATTACTTTGATTATACATATACATATATATATATATATATATAAACAACATGAAATAATTTTTTTCCGAAAACATATAAAAGTTTTTGGAAAAAGAATATTATACTCATAAAAAGAAATAATTACCATTTTTTTTATAGCTGAAGAAATAATTACCAATTAAAAAAAGAATTAGCAAGTATGTAGGCAAAATTCAGGCAAAAAAAAAAAAGTATGTAGGCAAAATATTCTTTGTTTAAAAAAAGGGGGCAACAAAATAAAATATTTAAGAAACAGAAATGTGGCTAATACATGCTCGTCCCTTCATTATCACCTTTTTGTGGACTCTGAAGATGTCATGCAGAGTCAGAACCTCAACTTTCTCTCTCATCTTCCTTCTCCATTCATTTCTCCCTCCTCTTTCCACTCACCAGCTTCATGGCCGCATCTCCTTTCTCCCTTTCATGTTGCAAAATCCCATCTCTTAATTCCTCTTCTACCATCTCTCCTCGCAGATCCTTTCTTCTCTGCCCCTCAATTCCGTCATCCAACCACTGGTTTTTCCTCAAGTCTTCGTTAAACTACCATTACTTGTACGGCAACTCTGTTCGGCGTCTAAGATGTGAGGCAACTCAAGTTTCAGTGGCTGAAGAATCTTCAGCATCCGGAGGAGGAGGCGGCGGCGGGGGAAATGAAAACTGGATTCCGGTGGTGCCGGTTGCAGCGCTGCCGAGAGGAGAGCGGCGTGTGATAATTCAGGACGGTGAAACGATTTTGTTGCTGTGGTATAAGAATCAGGTTTACGCCATTGAAAACAGGTCCCCTGCAGAAGGTGCTTATAGTGAGGGTTTAATCAATGCCAAGCTTACCCAGGTTTGAGTACATTCTTTGACTTGTTGTTGGTTAAAATTCTTGTGAAGATAAAGCTAATATGCATAGTCTATGAATATTGAAAGGTTTCTCAAGAGTATTGTTAGCACTCTGATCATGTTAGGATCTCGATTGAGTTGGCTAGCTGCAAAGTGGATTTGATTTGGAAATATCTATGAATTCTTGTAATTACGAGTAGTTCTTATTTTAAGTCATTTAAGATAAGATGCTTCCTTGATGTTTAAACTTGGGATCAAATTTTATCTCGTAATATGCATGTTTGTCAGGTGCTTATGGAAAGACTACATATTAAGTTATACAGTATTGACAATTGAAACAACAGATACAGTTTTGTAAAATTCTTTGACAAGAATATCCAACTAACGCAATCTGAAAATGGAAAGTTTATCCATTGATATTTCAAGGAAAAAAGGGCAAAGACAAAGCTCAACCTACAATTATCAGATTTCAGATTTTAGCCGCTCATCTGTCAAGATTCTTGATTAGCTGATCTCTTCCCTCTCAAAATACAATATTTATCAGTAATCAGTTGCTCATGTTTTCTTCTCTAAGTTGATGTTGCAGTTGGATTAATGACATCGCTACCTTTATTGACTGAGGAAAATTGAGCAACGACTTGGTAGATTAGTCATAGGAAACAATGTCATAATCCTACTTGATGGAGCCTAGAGCCCATGATGGACTCCTCCTTCTTAATTGGCTAATATGGTTTTTGAGAGCAAGGGCAATTGGACTGAGTAGCTTCAAAAGGTTACTATTTTCAGTTTCATATCACCTTGGGTTAGCCATACTTTTGATGCTATTTGGAATATTTTGCTTTGTGCGGGGGGAGCATCCATTTTATGAGAATACTATTTTATTAGTGCCTCCCAAGTTCTGACAGGTCCTTGATGGAGTGTCTTCTGAAAGCTCTTGCTTAGTATGAGTAGTTTCTCTGGGTTAGAAAGTTAAATGCTTTCGCTGGTTTATCTATTTTAGAATGTGGAAAACCTGTGTTGCAAATTTCCTGTATTTTCCATATTTTTATATTTTTGTTTGATCCGATATGGGAAGCTTTAGATTAAGTATTATTTTTTATTTTCCTCAGAAAAATTGAATTTCAGTTTTCTTTTTAATTACAAGTGTGAGACTAAAAGTTCAAATAGGATTAGCCAAACATAATGGTGGAACCAACTTCAAACTAAGTTCTTGGCCTCTTAGATCGACATATATCAGTTCTTTTGCTAAAACACGTCTTCTTGACATTTGTGTCAAATATGGCAATACTGCTTTTTTTTTTTTTTTTAAATAAGCATGACTGTTGCATTTGGATGCAACACTTTTTACCAAATTATTTTGGTTGGGGGACTACATTTTTGGCATATCAGACTCAAAAAAAGCCATATTAAACTCTTATAGGGTTAAGGTGCAAATCTACCCATAAAGTATTTTTCCATAGGTGTCTAACACCATAAACTTTTCTTGGACACAAAAGTATAAATGAAGTTCCTAAAAGGGTGCAAAAATGCCATGGCCGTTAAGTCAACTAATTTTGACTGTTTAGCAAACATATGGGTCAAGAAAATGTTGCAGAAGTACACATAAAGTTTTCAAAATGATGCAAAAATGCCATGGTTGTTGGAAACTCCATATGTATTTTTTCACTATTTTGAAAAGTTCATGTGTATTTTTGCACTATTTTCTTAGTTGACATGTTTATTAAACGGTCAACATTAGTTGACTTAACTGCTGTGGTATTTTTGTACCATCTTGAAAACTGTATTTTTGCAACCAAGAAAAGTTTATGGTGTTTGGTGCCCCTAACAGAATACTTCATGGGTAGATTTGCACCTTAACCCAACCAGGTTTTTCTTTCCAAGAAATTAGCAAAACTATCATCCTAAGTTTTGCTTTAAGAACTTAGCTAAACTCTCTAGAAATGATTTCATGCCCACAATCACAAAGTGCTTCTCATAATAACTTCTATGGTGTTGATTTTCCATTGATATCTCACATGAGAATATATGAGAAGAGAGTGAATTTCAGCCTTGTGATTGCTTTACTCTTTTCACTTTAATCTTCTTTGCAGGTTGGCTTTTATAAATGAAAATATAATAGTTCGAGAATGCATTTCTAGCTGTTGCCTTCAAATTTAAGTTCCAGTCGATTCTGATTCCTTTGTGAATCTCTAGGCTCCTCGCTTTTAGACCACAGCTCAGCTTCTAAAATTTTCTCATTTCTTGAACTCCTATGTTAGCTAATTCAATAAAATCATTTCCGAAGAATGTTAGAATAATTTGGCTATAGGTAAACAGCAAAGAAAATTTTTCCAACACAAAGGTACTCGCACGACATATGATGATCGAACCAAGATTCATGGTATTTTCCAAAATGATTAATCATTGAAAATTTTCAAATTATAGTTGGTAGTGCCTTACCTATATAAATCTTGGCTCATCAAAATCAAATCTTAAATCATCTTTAAACATCATGAAACTTGAAAAGTATAATTGAAATCATACCTTTGACGCAAATTAAATTTTGGATACTAATATATTATTTAATATATCTATTAACACCTTATCTGGTAAATCTGTTCATAGTTTTTAGTTTGACCGAAAATCAACTGACCTCTTGCGGTCCTGTCTTTACATAGGATGGTTGTATAGTATGCCCAACAACTGATAGTACATTTGATCTACGGACTGGAGAGATCAAGGAGTGGTATCCAAAGAATCCAGTACTAAGAGTTCTTACCCCTGCTCTGAGGACACTTTTTGTATATCCTGTGAAAACTGATGAAGAGAACATTTATATCAGCATGAGAGGATCCGTAAAATCTGATGCTTCTACTGAGATAGTTTTTAGTGGGAAGGCTCAGCCTGGTGTAACTGCAACTGATGTCAATGTTGATGAGGTAATTACGCTACCTTCTGTATAATAATCACTGATTTTGGATATTTGGAGAACAAAAACATTGCAATCATATTCCCCTCTTCACAGAGGCTCAGATTGGCTAATAATTTCTTTTCCCTTTTTTAGTGAATTACATGAACCTTCTCTAAGTTCTGTTGAAATTACACATACTTGCCTTCTTTTTCTAAAGATTTTGGATCGATATGCTTTGAAAATAAGAAGTAAATTATGTCGATTTTCCCCAAGTTTTGCTAAAATAATGTAGATCACCCTTCTATTTTTATTTTTAAAATTTGCCTAAATCTCCCATGAAAACAACAAGAATACTACGTAGATTGCCCCTGAATTTTTGCTAAAACTGCACATGTATCCCTTATGTTTTGAAGAGTTCACATCATTTCATCACAGCTTATGGGAAGTTTGCGCGCTTTATTCTTTATTTCGTGAGAGGCCTGTATACGTTTTGAAATGGGGATTTCTGTCTAACAAACTATACATTTCATGAGCCACTTGTAGTGCGGCTTACGTTAGAGTTTGTGTAATGCATGGGATCTAAATTAGTTTAAATGAATTCAAGGAAGATTTGTGTTGATTTTATGCATTTTCAATGAAGTTTAAGAAAAATCTGTACAAGTTACATTGTTTTTTAATCATGTCTACTGTGCCTTTTCAAATATGACTCGCCGATTTTTATCTTTTTTTAGCCCACATGTACATGGGGATTTTTAATTTTCTTTTGTCATTTTATCTTTTGTTGCATTCTGTATAATTCATAGCTATACAATTTGGTCAGGTTAGAATGGTGGTTGACGAGGGGCAAGAGGGTTTTGGTTTCACTGGGAAGAATGAAATAATAAATGGGAAGGCTGCGATCATCGGCTTCCTTTTGTTGTTGGATTTTGAGCTCTTGACTGGTAAGGGTCTCCTTAAGGGAACTGGCTTCTTGGACTTCATTTATTCTGTCTCCAACGCCCTACAGTAGAAATTCCCTTTCTTCTTTCTGTTCTGAATTATATGTATACACTCCCCCATCCCCATGAAAAGAAACGACATATTGTATTGAATTTTAGTCAGCATATTATGTTGTTGGTTCTTTGTAGTAATTTGTATGTATTCTAACCTACGGTACATTGTGAAAATAGATCATAATAATCTTTCTTTTAAGAAAACACTCCCTCTTTTTAATATGAGAGTTACTTATCTATTTTGAGTAAATTAAGAAAGTTCAATAAATTAATTAATTATAACTAATATAATCTGAGCTATCTAAAATACTCATGTATGATATTAGATTGCATAGAGGAAGAATGATAAATCTGGAAGATAAAGTAGGTTAAGGTGTTGTAAGGATCAAATTTAATATTCCAACTAATTCTTATATTAGGAATGAAAAGAGTAAAATAAATTACTGTATTTATACGTATGATGTACCTTTTTTCTTCGGTGAGTGGATGATATTCAATAATGATATTCCAACATTTGGTCTTTTCTATAGGATTCGCGATCCTATATCAAGAGGATTCGCTTCGTCAGTAATTTGTGATCATAATTCTCATTTGCTTGCTTGTTCCCTTTCTTGACACAGCTCATTCATTATCTGTATGATAAGTTTGTACTTATTGTTTTCATAATAACGGTTAAGGTATCAGGTAGACAGGTATGTTGGTTCGGCTTCTAAATGCTCAAAACTGAAATATTTTTCGGGCAAAAAGAAAATATTTGGTTTGGGTGCGGTTCAGTTCATTTGGTTTGGGCCTTTGAATTGGCCCTGATGTGGCTAGCATTTTCCCTTATCTTAAAAAAACCCTAACCGAGTTGAAATTTCAGCATGGATAAGTTATAGAAATTTTAAACTGATCCTCTCTATTATCCTTATTATGAACTTTCAACTAGCAAGTACTCTGAGTCCTTTTTACAAGGTATTTGCTTAGTTTTAAGGAGTATTAAATATCTTTTCTTATATATGTCCATATTTAATGAGAAAAGTGAGAATATAAAACGATTTTATAATTTAACTATACTTTTAACTATTTTTATTAAGGGTTAAGGTGTATCAAACACCTCAAGATATTTTCTCAGGTACACCTAGCATATCGAAATATTTTGTTATGCATCCAGTATCCTGAAGTATTTTTCTAGGTACATCTAACACTCTAAAGTTTTTTTTTTGTCTTAGTATTGGATGCACCAAAAAATATTTTTGGGTTCTAGATACACCTTAAAAAAAATGTTTCGAGGTATTAGATGTACCAAAAAATACTTTATGGTGTTGGGCGTACTTAAAAAAAATTTTAGAGTACTGGATACACTACAAAATAAGAAAATACTTTGGAGTGCTGGATATACTTTATCTTTTTTATTAATATGTGTGAATTAGTTAGAAATGATTTGTAATATGAAGGAGGGTGTATACACGGGAATTCTAATAAAAAAAAAAGATAACTGATAAATTATTCATTTGTGAATTTAACTCAAAATTTAAAATTCCTGCATGCATAACTGCATTAGGCAAGTTATTATAGGATGGAAAAGTAGATATAAATTCCAACTACATATAAATTAAAACAGCACAACTATTGTAAAGAAAATTAGAAAACAGAAACGATTAATATGATTATTTTTTTTCATATAACGATGTAATTTATAAATAATCTTTCGGGTACTTTTTATAGAAGATAATTATGAAATACGACATGTTTTTATGTCAAAAAAAAAAGACATGTTTCTTTTAATAAAAGACATATAGGAGTTGTCTTAAATCTTGTTTATTGATTTTTCATTTTATCTTCATTTAATGACTCATATTACTCATGTTATTATATCTAATTCTCACACATTCTGTTCTCATTATACATTCTCTTTTCTCCACATAGATGAGGATTTTTTTAAAAAAAAACAATTACTTTTTTTATATATTTATTTATTATTTTAACCTAATTTTAATTAACATTTTGGAGTGTTTGATTTACAGTAAAAACACTTTTTAAAAGTAGTTTCACACAAATTGAAACGAAATTCCTTTGTATATTTATTTCATATGCTATAAAAAAAAATTTAATTTGTTTTTTATCCAAACATTTTGTTTTCAAAAATGTCTTTTTCCAAGTGGGAAGGGATTGAAATGGATTCTCCTCGACGGATGAATGAAGGGGTGATGGAAGACCCCTTCAAAGACTCTGGACATTCATGTGAACAAGAAAAACGACAAAATTCCACTTTTTAGTTGGCCGCCCATAATTTTTAGCCTTTGACGTTTTAATGATGAATTGAGGAGAGGGCCAAGTTGCTCCCTTGTCGACCTTTTTCTTAATCAAATTTCTTCCCAATGCCGCACGTGGGATCTTGTTGCAATCCAATGTACCAAATATTGTCATTAAACTGATTCAACAAGATATTCCTTTTATTCCTTTTTTTTTAAAAAAAATTATTACTTTAAAGCTTTATAAATTTTTAGAATACTTCTTGCTTCTTAATTTTTAAAGAAGCAATTATTATTTTATTATCTTAACTTTTTAAAGGGATTAATTTCTTCCACTAACAAAATGACACACCTATCTTGGAAAAACAATTAACAAAAACTAACTCAAATGACAATAATATAAAAGTAATCAATCAGTAGTTCAAAACATTGATAATTAAACAAAATACATATCAAGATAATGTGTAAAGTAATTTAATTATTGTGCCATATATACAAATTAAGAGCAATTAATATGAAATTCTGAAGCCGTGATTTTAATTGCATTTCATGCAAAAAAAAATTTTAATTTTGTTTTTCATACTATTATTTTTCTGACAAAAATTTGAGAGTTCATTAATTGGGGCAATAGGAGGCGCTGCATCAAAATTCTTGACCGCCTCTAGTTGGCTTCCATTTTTCCGATAGCAATGTCATGGATGACGTAATCGGTAATTCACGATATCGTTTCTCCACGCGCTGATATTTTTTTGGTCAATTCCAAGCGTTTCCTATTCTGAAGTGCTCCTAATTCATTGCTGCTGCTTTTGAGTTTTGATTGCAGTTTTTTTTATTTAAAAAAAAAGGACAAACATTACTAAGATTAAAGGAAAAGTTTATAGTACAGATTTAGTAAAAGAGTAGAATTTTAAATTAGAAAAGGAACCTAAAGTAGTAGTATTAATAAAAACTATAATAACAGTCTTCAGTATGTCTGAGAAATAGATTAGGGTGATAGAAAAGGTAAATAAAATTTTTTTTGATGCAGATAATGTTGAGCTTGTTTGATTAAGATATGAAGCCTAAATGGTAAATCCAACTCAAAGATGCTCTCAAGCAAAGAATATATGAAATGTTTGGAGAAGATCCACAAGAACGATATAACCATCATCATAATTGTTATGATATTGTAATTCTACCAGCAGAAGTAATAACTTGTGATTATAAGGTAATAAACAGGTCAAAAGGAGGCTGAATTGTAATAACCGTTCTTCTAAAAACTGCTTTAAATTAAATTAAATTAAAATTTCAAATCGGTTAAACATCAATTATAAGTCATATTAACATATTCCAATCATCAAAACTCATTTTGAATCATGATAATATCATTAATCATCATAAACCTCCTCAAAAACACAAACCCTAGGTTCAAATTTCTCAAAACACTAAATCCAAGAAAACTAATATGATTAAACACTTAAACTAGTCCATAGAAGTCATTTGAACTTAAAATAATCAGTTAAAATCTTAGCCTATTGGAAATCATTAAAAAATCCTAAGACTCAAACTTAAAAAATATAAGAAAAAATGATAGAAATAAGGTTATGAATACTGACTTTGATGTTTGGAAGAGCAAAAATTTAAAAATCGCATCTGAAATGGATTTATAAAACCTAATTTTAACACATTTATTATAGCAAACATCTAATAAACGACACAATGAACAATATGTTGTTCGCTATAACAAACATTTAACAAAGGTCTAGCAATGACACAGCCAACATACTATGTTATTTGCTATAACAAATGTTTAGCAAACATCTAGCAAAAACACAAATAAGAGATTCGATTGGGAAAATTCATAACTACAAGGATCTCCAAAAATTATAAATTAGGGCTTTTAGAAGAGCACGAAATATCTATTCTTTAATGCCAAAATGATCACTCAAAAGCAAGATCATTTGACCCTTGAAAACACCCAATTTTCAAGACTACTCAAAAAGGTTTAGAGATATAACCTCAAATTATTAATCTTAGTATTTTTAAGGCTCAACATCCAATTTCAACTACTTAATGCCTCAATTTTCTGGATAATCAAAGTTTAATTAACTCTAGTCCTCAGATTAAAACTTAGAATGTTACAACTATCGCTACCTTTTAGGATTTTTTTTCCCCTTAAAATCACACATATAAAACACTACATAACAAGGAAAAACAACAAGAAACTAAACAAGGAAACAAGTTTGGGTACTTGCACTGCATCTGTTCCTCGATCTTCTAGGTGGCATCACTTGGGGTCATGCACTTCCAAAAAACCTTCATAAGTCTAATGGTCTTATTCCTCAACTATTTATCCTTCATATCTAGGATTCTCTTCATCTCAGCTTTATAAGTCAGGTTCTCACGTAACTCAACCTTTTCGGATTCTAAGATGTGAGACGGATTGGGGTGATCAATTGTGACACATGGAACACATCACGTACATTAGACAGATGCAGGGGCAAAGCGATTCAAGAAGCAACTTTCCCAATCTTCTCTAAAATCTCAAACAGCCCAATAAATCTGGGAGTCAACTTCTTCTCCTTAATGGACCTCTTAATACCAGTCATAGGCGTTATCTTCAGAAACACATAATCACCTTTATTGAATTCCAAAGGTCTCCTCCTCTTGACTGCATAACTTCCTTGTCAACTTTATGCACTAGCAATTTCTTCTTAATAACATCGATCTTCTTAGTTGTGGCCTCAACTAAATTCGGTCTTAAAACTGTTCTCTCACTCAACTCAATCCAACAAAGAGGTGATCAACACTTATGTCCATATAATGCTTTATAAGGTGCCATTTGGATGCTAGCACGGTAGCTCTTATTATATGCAAGTTTGGCCAATGGGAAGTGATTAATCCAGCTTCCCTTAAACTCAATAGCACAAGCCCTCAGCATATCCTCAAGTTTCTAGATCGTTCACTCTGTTTGTTTATCAGTTTAAGGGT